GGGGTGGGGGGTTGGCTCGGAATAAGACTCGATTTTGACTTGGACCGTTTTTGTGCTTTCGACATGATTCATTTCTTGTTTGTTGTTGTCTGAATTGTTTCTGCTGCATGTTGCAGCGCTTCGTCGACAGCGGTGGTTGTTTTCAACTTGAGACATGAATTTTCCTCAGAGACCCAAAAAAAGGTCTCAGGACCCCGTGCCCAACCAAACACGATCATTCTGCCGTTTTGCTTGGCGTCCGGCCGTTTTGCTTGGTAACAGCCATCAGACTTGTGAAAAATACTTGAGCCCCCGGTAGACACGAAGCCACCACGCATTTGGTCGGCACATGCGGACCCCCAAAAACGGTCTCAAGATGACATGCCCCAAAAACACACGGGAAGTCTGAGATCTTGGTCTGAACCCAACTTTTTTTTTCCACGTTTCAATGAGAATTTTACAGTTTAACAGTCCTGCGGGACTCGCCGATCAGAAACGTCTGAGTCCCATTATCTATTTCGACAGTCCCAAATTTCGAATTGTGAAATGGTCTACTTCTTCAATTGCATCCGATAATAACACAAACAACAACTATATACTGTCACGTTGCGAGGTGGTGGTGGACCCCAAAAAGCAGGCAGGAGGGAGGAGCAAGGTGTACTCGAAGAATTGAATTAAAACACAGAAAACTAAATCCAAACAAAGTCCTAAGAACAAAACGAATTCAAAGTAACAAACAAAAACCATGACTGAAAACAAACATGGCAGTTGCAAAGAAACAGCAACAAACAAACATGACAGTGGCCAACAGCAACACAAACAATGACCTGACAGCCGGGAGTCCTTTTATAGCCACTAATTACCTAACAAAATTATCGGACTTTAGCTGCTTCCTCTGTGACATCTCCACAATAAACTTTCGCAACACTTGTTTTAACGTTACACCATTTGGCAATCGTCTGCTTTCCACGCGGTGAAGGCCGATCTCGCCAATCTCGTCTTGCGAGAACGGAAATCTCGTCACGCGAGATGACTTAACCCGAGATCAAAACAACAATGGCAGCGATTGTCGAACTGCGACACTGAGTTGTTGGAAAAAAGTATGTACCGGAGGTTTTTTTTTATTTTTGTTTTTTTTTTGGACTGAGAAATTTCCTTGCATCCCAAAAACGCACATTATTTGGAACCGTGCGTCCGGGGAAAACTACGCGTCTCTAGGACGCGGGACACAGAGGTAATGAGATGGCTGCATGCTAGTGAAAGGCATCGGAAACCGCTAATGTTGCTTCATCTCGAAACGATCTGCATTCCCTCGAAAAAAAATGAACCTTCGCACACATGCTGGCTCACCCCAGCTCCGTCTGCCCCGTTGTGCATGTGTGCGTGCGCGCGCGCGTTTTGTGGATGAACGCTTACCTCCCTCCCTCGCCGACTCGGCACTCAGTCACCGGGTAGAAGGCGAGCTCGGCGGATGCTCGGCGGTTACTCGGAAACGCTGACTTCCGAGCCGGGGAGATTGCGCCGCGTCTTGACTAAATTCTTCATCAGTGCGGTGCCGGTCAGTAAACTACAGCTTTTTGAATTTTTCTTTTTCTTTCAAAGTTCCTCATTGAGAATGCATTTTCATTGCTTCGCGCATGGTGCGGTGCCGGTCAGTAAACTACAGCTTTTTTGAATTTTTCTTTTTCTTTCAAAGTTCCTCCTCATTGAGAATGCATTTTCATTGCTTCGCGCATGTCGTCTTGCTTTTTGCTGTGTTTCGATAACTGATCGCTTGCGGGGGGAGGACAGAAACTGATCAGGTGGAATCAAATCCATATTTAGGGCTAATATGTAAAAGTGGAATATCTTGTGTGTTTTCCCTTGGCAGTGCGGTGGAGGGGGGCAGGAGGGGGTGGGAGGTTTGTGTTCTCTCACATGAGGTCCACCTGCCTGGAAGGTAAGAAAGTATATTGGAGGCAGATGTCGGTCCGTCTCGTGCCGGCACGCGCCCGCGGGAACGCAGGGGCCAATTCGCGGAATCGGGACTCGGCATTTTTTGGGCGGGGGTCCTCACCCCGTCTCGAGGCCCCAGCAAGCGAGAGCTGAACATTCTTTTCCCACTCCCTATATATTTGTATTTTTGGGATGGGGGCGGGGTCCGTTTATGGATTTGCGTTCTCCCTTTGAAACGTTCCTCTTAGGAGTGAATTCAAATTCCCCCCCAAAATTTCACGGAAGTGAAAAGGCCGAAACGAAGCAACAGTCGTTCGGAACTCAAATCAATCGTGTCACCGATGAAGCCGGTTTCAAAGCCAATTCTGTGTTGGCTGACCAATTCTGAGCAGATTTCGAACCGGTTTCAAGCCTTGTTGAGCATTTTTTTTCCGCGCAACCAAATTTCAAATCGTGTCGCCGATTCAGCCATTTTCACGCCCAATTCCGTGTCAGCGGACACAATCCGAAACGGTTTCAAGCCTCGGCGGCGTAAATGGCAATCTGACTCAAACTACGAATCCGATCATCAAAAGTCACACTCGACTTGAACACTCGATACCGCGAGTGTTCACGCCGCGGTATCGAAAGCTCAACAATGTCGTTAGCCGAAGACAATGAAGGCAAATTCAAGGCAAATCCGCGTCAGCTGAAGTTTCCGTGCATGTGACTCACGTCACTCCTGAACGGATGTGACTTTTTCGCTCGCCCGTTTGGAGTCGAGAGGTTAACATTTCTCGTTTTTTCGAGTTTTAGCATCTCAGAGGGAGGAAACTTCAGGAATGATTTTGACGCTGTACTAGCGACGTCGACAACCTCCAAAAAGAAGACGACGGGATTATGTGGGCGTGCAAAAAAAAAATGGAAATGTTTCATTAAGACCTCGTTCGAGGGTCGTCCTTTGTTAGAAGTGCCGGACAAGCCCGATCCTTATCTTGCTTCCATTTAATGAGCCGCTATGATCTTCTTTGGGCAAAGAAATTAACATTGTTAGGCGCGTTTTTCATACTAGAAAAAGAAGAGAGAAAAAAAATCAGGCCCCGGAGCCAGTTTCACTCGGGAACACAGAATTTGATTGACAGGTCAACCAAGGAGTAGACCCCCAAAAACGTCTCGAGAAGCCGTGCCTGGAAGGAGACGGGAAGTTTGCACTTCTCGGTAGAAGAGGCCATTTTGGCTCCAGGGTGAGCTTCAGAGTCTCAACGAATCCGTAAATCGGCCTTTCGTCTCCCCAAAAAAGCCCCAAAAACCCGCAGGCAGATGGCCTCTTTTTAAACAAACAAACAAACAAAAAAAATTGGGGCGGGTCTCTCTCAAGCCTTTGCGGAGCATCGCGTCCTTTTCGGATGCGAGGCGTCATGGATTCTCTCCAGAACGGCCCCTCGGACCGGAGCTCGTCCCGGCCCGCCCCCTCCCCGCCGCCGGAGCGGCTCAACGGCACGCCGAGCCCGTCCTGGGACGACGCGGCCGACCTGGAGAACATGCTGCTGTGGACCCTGCGCGAGCCCGGCACCATCGCCTTGACCCTCCTGTACAGCCTGTCCTTCCTGCTGGGCTTCGCCGGCAACCTGACGTCCCTGCGGGTGCTCGCCGCCAGCCGCAGTCGGCGTTTGGCCGCCGTCAGCGCCACCCGCAGCCTGCTGCTCAACCTGGCCGTGTGCGATCTGGCCGTGGTGTGCGTGTGCATGCCCATCACGCTGGCCAGCCGCATCTACACCGCCTGGGTGTACGGCGACCTGCTGTGCCGCGCCGTCCCCTTCACGCAGGCCGTCTCGGTGTCGGCCAGCGTCCTGACGCTCAGCGTCATCAGCGTCAACCGCTACTACAGCGTCCGCTCGCCGCTCAGGGCGCGCTCCATGTTCACCCGCCGGCGCGTCCTGGCCACCGTCGCCGCCGTGTGGGCCGCCTCGTCCGCCGTGTGCGCCCCCATCGCCGTCGTCAACCGTCGGCGGGAGATCGGCTTCGGCGGCTTTTCCATTCTGGTGTGCCAGGAGGAGTGGCCCAAGCATCGCCTAAAGCAAGGGTACGTACGGACGCCGACGTCGACATTCGGCCTTTGGGATGAAGGTCACCGCTTACCGTGCCGTCTCGTCCTTACGACTCGGGAGTTTGGAGTTCCTGGAGTTTAAGTAGGAGTGCCAGCAAGGCTAGCAAAGTGGATCCCGAGTCTCGGGAAAGTCAGCGTCATGGTTGCCTGAGTGGACCCGTCCCCTTGCGCTCAATTACAGAAAAACATCCTCTCCGTCGCCGTGCCTCCGGCTCGCCGTTTTCAAAATCGTCAACCGTGTCGAACTCCCCACTCGCGCCGGCGGGCAAAGAGCCTCGGAGTTGCAATCGGCTTCTCTTTCGGGTTTCTCAATCCAACGGCGTCGCGCTGGTTTCCTCTTCCGCGCCTCCCGGTTTGCCCTTGGTGACCGCACACGTCGAAATGTGCGATGCGGCGTCGCTGCGAGTGTTGTATTGGTGAGAAACGTTCGGGAGGTGTTGTCTGAGTCGTGTCCTTGCGGCCTGTCTCATTTCTCAGGTCGGCTCCTGCTCTGGTGGGTGATTGATTGGGTTCGATCCCCCCTCCGAAAATGACGCTTCGGTTCGTCCCGCTCGGTCAGATCCTTCAATGTGTTTTATCCGGGCTGCTGTGTCAAAGGATCGGCCTGCGAGTTGCATCCTCGGAACCCTTTCGAGATTCCGAGCGTCCGCCGTTGAGGCTCACCGGTGAATCCGAGCCGTTCCGGGAAGTAGCTCGTTTCTCCGGCCGACGATGAGCGACCCACAAGAGGATGGCCTCATCAAGATTCATGCCCACCGCCTCTCTGG